GGTGAGTAGAAAATGAAGGCTAATCATGTTTTGGGTGTACTATTCCTTTAAGCTGTGTAAAAACAAGCTAAGCTTTGATCATTTTACAGAACACAGTTCCCATCTCTCTTCTGGGGTTGGCACAGCTGCAAACCTATTAATATGTGCCCTATGAGATAACTTGACATGCCTGCCAAGATATCATTATTCCCCTAGTGAAGCATGGTAGAGGCAGCATCATGCTGTGAGTAGGCTTCTCCTCCACAGGACAGGGAACTTGTTTAACTTTGGTGGAAAGATAGATGGAGCAACTTTCAGGGGAAACACTAGAAGGAACCCAGAAAATTGCTGGAAAATCTTGAAAATCATAATAGGGTTCACCTCCAAGCAGGACAGTAAATTATAGACATACTGCCAAATGTACACTAAGATCAAAATGTGTGTATTCATTAGAACGACTGTGTCAAAGGCCACACATAAATCCAACGGAGAAACTTTTGGAAGACATAAAAAATAAAACACTCATAACCTTAACAAACTGAATATGGTACTGTTTATAAGGAAGAATCTGTGAAAATCTTAGTGGGTAAATTAGCTGTGATTGCAAGAATGGATGAATCAATACATAATAGTATTGGCTGCATGGCACAGTGTTCAGATTTTTGTTTGTAAAAATAATTTTTCTATAACGTAACAAGTATGCACTAAATTGAGTGACTGTCATGTAAAATCTATGATTAAAGAATACACCAAATGGTATAATTAGTTTTGCCAGGTCCAGTATAAGCCTCAGATAGATATCAGCCCAAGCAGCATTATGATATTCAGTGTTGATTGCTCAAAGGCATGTAATTATTACTGAGGAGGTGTATAGGGATTGTAGTGTAAAGATGAGATTCTACATTGTTTTTTATAGTTCTGAAATGACTCAGCATTCGTCCTTCAGTTCACAAAAACAGTTGCCAGGTTGCGAAAGGATGACAAGAATAGAAAAGCAAGCTTAAAACTCTCACTACAAATGCACCATGGTCCCATATAGCCATCCTATTATTTTGCATGTTGTAAACATACGTAGAACATACAGACTAAAGCCAATTTGGCTGTTTTTATTTAGCATCTATGGCCGGGGGACTCCATGCTCACACTTCTTTTTAACAAAAAGTCGATACTCTTTCATAGGATGCGGCTGTCTGCAGCAGACCTCTGCACTGACTAGAGGTTCAGGACCATGGATAGCGTTGCTCCTACATTCAGCCCTGTAATCAAATATGAACCAGCAGAACTCAGGCTCTTTTTCTTTTTAACTGAATGGTTCCTGTCATTCTCCAATCAGATGAACTGCACTTTTCTTTTATTATTCAATGTAATCCAAAAGTACAAAGCAAACACAATTCTGCTTTCAAGCTGTGAAGCAGTGTAGAAAAAAAAAAAAATAAGCAAACAAATCCTGATAATACAGCATAACATAGGTTCAGAGGTTTACGGTTCGTTTTATTTTGTTGTTGCAATAGGACTCAATATAAAACTAATGGATCAGCTCTAAATGGCATGTCATTAAAATAAACAAGCTATATAGGAAGAAAGACTACTAATGTGTGTTTGATATTACAATTGGTGCCTTAAATAGGTAGACATTACAATAAATTCATAAAATGCTTAATTTATTTAAGAAATCTTGAGGCCAGCAAGCAAAATCTGCTTTTAACATAGGATTGACCAATTACTTAGTAATAATTTAAATAAAAAAGCCAAGGCAAAATGCATTATCTCAAAGCATTGTGTACAGTGTCATGAAACCCAAAATGTAGGACCCAGTATTCAGGCGAGACAGACAGTGGGAAAATTCGAAATGTTTATAATTAATTAATTTATTTTTTTTTTTTTTTTGAGGTTTCAAAACATTTAATGAAAATAAAACAGAACAGAAACAAAACAGAATGCCTCCCCTGGGAGGCGGGAGGGCTGCCCAACACTGTCACTCTGGAGGGAGAAACACAGGTAAGTGACCATGTTAATCTGATGGAAGATAATTATCCATGTGAGTCACTTACCTGGTTAAACAGTTCAGTCCATATTCTCGGGTGAGGCAGGATCCAGCCGATGCACTGCCACGAGATGCATGCCTGGAACCGCCCAGGGTGTCCCTGATGCAGCAGCCCACATGAAACAGGCAGAAGTCCGAGCCAGATCAGGGAATGAGTCCAGAACAAGGATGGTTCTGAGATCCAGGAGTCCAAAACCTGGTCAGAGGTTCCAATGAGAGCAGGAACAGAGTCCACAGAGTGATGAGGCAAAATCAGAATTCCATGAGTCCAACAGCGAGCTCAAACAGACACACTCGGATGGAGACAGGCGGGCTCAATAATTGAGAGGCAGAGACAAGACATGGTACCAGGAGAACTGTGGACCTTTAGACAAGCTCCCTCTTCTGATCCAAAACAGGAAAAGGGCTCGCTCAGTTGAGAAGAGCCAGGACACAATCAGTAAAAACATCAAGACAAGGCAAAAACCCTCTCTAACCACTGGCATCCAAGAACAGGAACATTGACTCTGGAAATAAAAAGTTTGGAGTGAATTTATTTTTGGTCCCCCTTAGACAGTGCTTGTAGAACCCTATCTTTCAAACAGCTAAACGTCTTTTGGGTCATGTGTCTATGAGCTTTGCACATCAAGAGGCTGAAGTTTCTATTATGTTTTTTTTTTCTTCCTCCAACTCAGTCAGGTTAGATTGAAATTGTCTATGAACATACACTTTTAAAGCTTGCCACAGATTCTCCACCAAATGTCAGTTTGGACTTTGACTAGGCTATTCTAACATTTAAAATAAATCAGTTTAGAGTGTATTACAAGCTTCAGTTGTTTAGATAAGGCTGTTACACTGGAGCCTCTTACAGGCTTTCTCCTGATGAATTTTCCAGTTTTGGTTCAAGCTAACAATGTAATGGCTTTTGTTATCTTCTAACCCAGATGTAAAACTGTAAAACTGTTTAATGGTTGGAATTTTTCTACTTCAAACAATGAATCAGAGGCAGTGCTATTGACCTAGCTTTTTCAAACCTACAAACATTTTAAGTCTGGTCTCATTTTATAGCTAAAACATTTAAAATGGAGATTTTTTTAAAGCATCATTAAACAAGTTAAAGTTAAGTTTAGAAGATTTATCTGATTCCTCAGACTGTGTCTGCAAGATAAATGAACATGGACTAAGGTAAACATGTTTAGGATGGTATTGCACTAGAGTGGGCTTGGGTTTTCCTGGTAGGTATTACAGCTTGGCAGGCTGGATTCTAGGAACTTGATCCAACATTCACCAAGTGTGTCTCAGACAGGATCACAAAGAGAACAAGGAGACATAATTATTAACATCTGAAAAGGCGGCATTGGAATGAAGGTAGCTTGCTTTAGATTCCCAGTCCAATCCACCATCAGGCATATAGTGTGTGTCTCCCTCTTTGTGTTTTCCAGGTCAGTTATGTCCCTAATGGCTCCCAAGTTCAGCAGTTCTCATCAGGGGCAGCCATGCCCACACTGCAGGTAAACACCACAGACCTGAGGGGGG